AACTAACTATTGTTGTTGTGATTTTGCAAATTAATTTGCTTATAATTTTTACGCTTAGTTAAACACAATTTTGACTGATTTTCACACAGCAAATGCTCGCTGTTAAAAAGTTTTCCCTTGTACCAGCAGAAGGCAATGTACAGTGGGACTGAATCATTGAAATTGCCAATTAAATGCAAACAATTCACATTAAATATCCAGCATAAATTTCACTTAACAGAAACTTACACTGTGAACACTTTTTCTCAATTTTCTGATTTTACAAAATAATTTTGTTTTTTATTTCTAGTGGCGTTGACATTAAAGAGCCATTGCAGACTGCTCTCTAACACAGGTCATAGCTTTTATAAATCTAAAATCTATTGTTCAACAGTTTTGCTTAAAGCTGCCTCGCTTAAAGCGAACAACTGCATTTAAATGATTTCGGTCAGTTTTCCCAATGGCGGTTCCATTGGCTTCGTTAGCTCCAACTGGCGCTGGCCAAACAGCGGAAAGTAAAATAAAAAATATATATGCATTTAAATGTTATTTGCATCATTCTGACGTTTGTTGGTGCCCCCAACGTTGAACGTTTTGAAGCCTATCGGCGTGTTTCATATTTTTATAAATTGCTATAAATTGAGATATTAATACGATAGCCGACAGAAGTCACAACCAATGGGTCGTGTTGTTGTTGTTGCTGTTGCTGTCGATGTAGCTGTTGTTGGCCGCTTCGCTGATTTCAACATGTGGCAAAAAGTGTCGAGACATTAAAAAATGTTGCGCAAGTGTTGCGCAAACATAATGTGCAGTTATTTGTATAAAATGCGACAAGCGACAACTTTTTCGGAACAACATTTGGCCAGCGTCAGAGTCGGAGTCAGAGTCAGAGTCTGTGCCCTGATAATGAAGTTGTTGTTGCTAACGACCGAGTCGGACTTTAAGCTTAAATTTAAACATTGACTGCATCAGTAGCAGTGGCAGTGGCAGTGGCAGTGGCAGTCAATGTCCTGCTGCAGGACCTCAGCCAGCTTAAATATTCCATGCACACCGAAACACACACGCACACACACACATTTTGTCAGTTGCTTCAATTGGACTGATTTAATTGAATCACTGTACTCCTCCATCGACTCTACTGCGCCCTGCCCTCTACCGAGCATGTCTACCATTTCTGTCTTTGGTCTTTCAATTTACTACGCAGGCTCTTCCTGTTCTTGTTGCTGTTGTTGTTGCTGCTGCTGAGTGTCTGTAGTTTTGGGTCTACGTTTTTCGCACACGTTTGCGTGCTATGCATGGCATAAAAATTTGACACAAAAGCCGTTGCATACAATTGGGCACACACACACACACATATGCACATACACACGCACTCAGCTGTGAACATGCTTGCAGCTGCCGCGGCCCATGGCATTTGTTTGAGTGTGGCCAGACAAGGCATAGGGCTACCAACAGGCGACGTGTTGAGGTCGTTGTCAGACACTGATTTTGTATGCAGCAGAAACAACCATTTTAATACATGCTTTTTATACCCTGTGATCAATCCAAATGGCGAAAAGCTTTGCTCGAATTGTAGATGGAACGAGTAGCGAGTAGTTGCTATAACTCAACATATATCTATTATTTAATTTAGCCTACTCCATCTCAGCATAATAATCTATTATAAATATTTAATGCAGGCTACGATGCAGCGGACAGGGTATCCGCAAGTCTTAATTCAATCTCCCGAAAATAGAAAAAAATTCATTTTTATACCCTGAACTCCTTGACAATGGGACCTCAGGGTTAAACGGTCTTGTTAAAATGCACATAACAGCAGACCCCATACAGAATATATATTCTTGATCAGGACGACAAGCTGATTTAGCCCTGACCATCTGTCCGCTTGTTCGTATATATTAAAGAGTCGTTTTATATGTCGTCTATAGAACGTGCACCTCAACTTTATTTTAATCTAATAATAATAATAAATTTATTGTAATCGATTAAAAATATGATCGACAGTTATTAAATTATATCTTATGCGGCTTAAGATCTAGAGCCTAAAAATTTTGTATTTAGTTTATGTATTTTATGCAATTTTAATTTTTGTTATATTTTGGATACCGGCTACAAATTTCATTAAATTCTTTTAGCTTAGGTTCCGTTAGAAATAAGGCCAATATGTTAATTAGTTTGCATATTTATTAAGCTGAAACTTACTTAAATCGAATATGAAGATCATATGCTGCAAATATGATTAAGAACCACTAAGTAAAACAGAAGTTAGTAAACAAAATGTTTGGTCAATTCTTAGGACATGTCAAACAGCGCCAACCGTACCCATTTTTCCTATACATGTGCATAAATTTAAATATGTTCATTTTTTTCTATTAAAAGATTTTAAAATGAAATGGTATTGTGTTTAAATTGTCAACTACTTTATTTTAAACTTGCATCCAGCTATTGGTATTGGTGGAAGCGGAGCCGAGAATTCCTGTATTCAATGCCAATCGGATGATCAACGATCTTTATGTGATTTATTTTTTAATATGAGATATTTCGATATATTTCTTTCTTGTTTTTTATTGTTTTAATTTTTAATAAAAATTTATATTTAATATAGATACAAGTTGTAGAGTATATTTAACAAGTAAAAGTGCATTTGTCGAGGCTGCTCGACTAGGACTCACCTTGAACCCTGCACCTCCTCATCTTTCTGCGCTTACAATTTGTAATTAGAATTTTTGCTGTTATAAATAAAATATTATACATAACAGAAAATAAACCTATTTATGTTTAGTCTAATTCTTTTGTAATTAAATCTTATTAATATCTCTCATACGAATAATCCACCGTTTGCCAACCTGCAAATTAATCACTTAAAGCTCACTTGACCGTTTCTAGCATCTAACACTCCCAGACTCCAACTGAATAATCGAATTCCCTAGCCGAGTATTTATGCTCGCTTGAGGAATATCTGTGTTAATGCCTCGCATGTAAAATGCCCAGACAACAGCTTACGCACCCATTTTATTTATTTTGCTGCTTGTAATATTTAATAAGAATGTCTCAATTGGTTGGGAGATAAATACACACACACACAAACAATGCCTAGGTGCTCCTAAATTCAGGCAATCACAATTTATATTTTCTTTTGCAGCCAAAGCTCTGCATTCCCTCCTGCTTCTGGCCTACACGTGCGTTGCCCTCTCGACACGAACTACATAAATAAGCGAACGACAAAAGATGCTCGTGGGGGCCCCTCACACCCGATGCGGTGCGGCAGGGATTGGAGGCGCAGAAACTTTTCCAATTTTCCCCTTTTTATCGTAAATTACGCACAATTCAATATTTGGCCTTTTTACTGTCGCTGGCTTCGTGTCCCCGTTGCCCTTTTTCTGCTTGACTAGCTCCCAAGTGAGGCTGGGGCTGCAGATAGTAATGCTCCGGGTGTGAGGTATTTGTGTGCAATTTCTTTTCTTGTCTTTGCCATTTTGATATTTTTTGTGTGTCTCTTTATCGTAAATAAGAAATCTCATACGTGCGTATTCGGCCTAGACCTTTCATATATTAGACCACCACCAGTGCCACTGCCACTGCCACTGCCACTCTCACTTCCAGTTCCACAACACCCGCCGTCCTTTGTCTTTATGAATGGGTAAGTAAAAGTTTGTTTTACTTTTGTTTCTTTAATCGAAATTGGCCAGTGCGCCCACCAACTGTAATGATTGTTTTTCTATGCGTCTTAGTTTATATTTAGCATTATCTCGATTGGAATACGACTTGCTAGAAGTTTCTCCAACTTATTGCATTAGCTTGGGCTGGCAAGGGAGTAGCATAATCTAAGAGCTCGATTGAAATTATTGTAAATAATCAGATGTATTGTTATAGAGGCGACTGTTCACTCGACTAATAAAGCGATAAGTATCGATCATTCCTTTCACATTGCTCTTGCATCAAGTCCTATTTTACAATCTATAATAAAATGTTTCTCTGTCCGACACATCGTATACTTATTAATTGGCGCTTCAGCCTTAATTGCCAAACCTTTCTTTGGCTCCCATAAAAACCTTCTGAATGCAGCAACTGCAGCTCCCATTATGCCATTAAAGCGCATTGTCGTTGCTGTAGGCCCTTTACGATGGTCGCCGCCCAAGTGGCCACGCCCTCGCACTGCAAGGGCATAAAAACATTTATGTAATTGCTGCTATCGACAAGCGCCCACCCAAATGGCCTCGTTGTGCCGGCTGTAAACGGGCCTTTAATACACTTTTGATTGGATTGTCGCACAAGTTAATTGAACGCCGCGGCGCAACGAAAGCCGCGCTCTAAGCCACTAGCTCCGCCATTTTGGATCCGTATAACGGCAATTATATTCGGAACTAGTTGGCAGCAGCCTAACAGTCCTAACAAGCGCTGCCCAGCTCAATGGCGCGCATCAACGAATCGCAGATTCATGCAAACTCATTAGGCTGAAGTTCACATGAGGCCAGAACCATGGCCCTAAATACATTTCCCGCGCTCTGAATCGATCCATTGCTGTATCACTCTATATGTTCAGAGTCCTCTGCGAATGGTGCCTTCGACAGATACTGAAGTCGACAGCAGTGCAAGTCGTACTACATCGTATCTGCTGGGCAAGTCTTGCTTTAATGCTTCAACGCATTTTTATCTTTTGTTGGCTAATGCGCTAGCAAATTGTTTGAGAATGACCCGCGTAAATTTCATTTCTACTTGATTTACTGTAAATTGTATTGCAGAAAACACACAGCAAGCAGAGGAAAAGATAAACCGAGCATGCCATATAAATGGATGGCAAATGTTGCAGACTTTTATAAATTGTTTGGGGCAAACTAATTTTTTGATTCGCTATACGTTCGATGCTTACTTCGATGGGATTTGCTAAATAACAGTTGATTTGTATGATTTGTAAAGGTTTGCCGCCCAACTCAGAGGCACCGACTCACAGCAGCCAATTTGCTAGATGTCATACACAGGTAGGCAGATCATTTGGGGTCTGCTTGCTGCTTGCTACTTACCCTTCTGATAGCTCATGATTCGACAGCTGTATTATGCGCATAAAACGAAGGTGAGTTTTGCTTAAACCAAGATCTGCAAAGATTAATTGAACACAGAAATAGTATAATTTAACAATAATAACTCATGTATTTCCTTATGTAACTACAGAAATATAAAGCTAAAGCTTAAGATCTTTTCATTAGCTTACTCCTTGCACAAATAATTAAATTTGTATTATTGCAAAATATTTATGTATACTTAAAATATTATGTATACTTCAAGTAGCATTTCCACAAATTTAAGTCTGCGAAGTAAGAAACTACCCAGTAAACATTGTCAAATTTACCTTTGTTAGCTTTATTAATTGCAACTTCCAACATTTTCATTACATTAATTGAAGCATTGAACAAGAGTTAAAAAGTCAAACGATCTGATTAAGTAATGGAATCGCTTTAAAATGATTTGTATTTGAACAGTTAATTATTCAAGTACTTTAACACTTTTTTAAAATTGCTCATAATCTATGAAGGCTGTAGAAAATAATTTAATAATTTGTAAATTTATAAATATTTATATTTCATCTCTGCAAATATTTTTTCCATTCCATGTATAACTCCTTAGCACTGGTTTATTTATATTACAAATTTACTACTAACAAATATTTAATTGAATAAAAAATATAAATTAAAATATATATTTTATATATATATATATATGGAATAAAAAGGGCAGTTGCCCTTGACTTATTCCCTAATAGCCAGAATCTGTCGTCAAAATACTGAAGATTGCATGCAATTGGTGGATACGCGACACGAGGCAAGACTCTAAGATAGTTGTAGCCCCATTGTCACGTAGAACTCGTAGAATTTCGGATGCCCAAATGCTGAGGAGTTTATAGAATTAACCTTGTCATGGCATTCAAGCAGCCATAGCAGCGTTGCTATTGCCGTTGCCTGGCTCATCAAACCACTTGCAGCAGCTGCCCCCGCCCCTTTTGTCACCACTTGTCATGCTCCAAAACATCCTTTGAGCTGTCGCTGTGCATTTGTATGCGTTTTGCCTGATTTATGTGCAAGTGTGCCAATATACGTGTGTGCGTGTGTGTGTGTTTACGTCTCTGTCGTGTTGGCATTTGTCGTTACAAACTTAATTAATGTTATGCTGCCACCGCCACAGAGCTGCCCTTGTCCTCCAGGCTCTTGACTTTTGTCGAGCGCCGCAAAAACTGCAGCCGGTTGACACTGCGCCACTGTCAGTTTCAGCTGACGTTTGGTGTTTCTGTGCCCTGACTCGTTCCGGTCCGACGTTTTGCATGTGATTAGGCGAAGTCTGTGTTGGAGTTTCAGTTGAGTCCTGCCCTTTATGTGTGTGTGTGTGTGTGTGTGTGTGTGTGTCTGTGTGTGAGTGCTGCAAAAATGATGCTCAGCTTTTGGAAAATTGTGTGTTTCTGTTGACATTTGGCAAAATCGCATTGGCAGCATTATCCTTATTGGCATAATCAGCGTTTGGCTTTGAGTTTGTTTGTTCTAAGGTTTTGGCTGCTTATTTGCTTAGCCGGTGGCTCGATGATTAGCGATTCGTTCGTTCGCTCTAGCTCCATATTAAATTGTCTGCGAGCTGTGCCCTGTTTAAATTTGCACAAATACGTGCTGCATTTTTCTATTCATGGACCAGTCGAGAGCTTTCGCATTTGTGGTATAGTTGGTGGCGGGGCAAAAGGGATCCAGACAAATGCCGACTTTACTTTGTGCAACAGCCCGTGAACCGGGAGGGGCGCTGGGGACGCACAAATGCAATGTCTGAGCAGAAAGCCCACAAAAAATGAGCCCGAGCTGCAGGAACACTTTATTTGTTTATAGCGCAAATGGCGGCACAAAAAGTGCAACACTGCTGCCGGCTAAAAGGCAACGGAGGCAGCGACTGCAGCCAAAGAGCAAGAGCAAGAGCCTCCTGCCAGAATTCTTATGTGTAGCGCGCATTGTCAATATTCCTGTATAGAAAGGAGGCGTGCAAAGGTTTGCCAAGGCAGCCAACGCAGCCAACGCAGCTTATGTGATGTGATTTGTAAAGGTGTGTGTGTGTGCGTGTGTGCGTGTGCTTGTGTGTGAGTGAGAGTGTGCACATATGTAAGTAAGGTCTATTGTCTGTCTGTCATGTGTTCTGCTCGTGCAGTCGTAATCAGTTTGCCCTGCCGTAAATTGTGTGAAAAGTGAAAAGGATTTGTTGCGCTTTGTCCCGCCTAGGAGTAAACTGGCATGTGATAATGGCAAGAATCTTTTGTACATAGCATCATGTCATATCATACATAATTCTAAGAGCCGTGACAAGTTTCGTCGTCCTAATGAGATTCGGAACTCTCATAATATACAGATGAAAATTATTTACAACTGAATTTTTAATTGATTTAATGTATTCTCAGCTTTTTGTACATATGTAAGCAAGAAGTTAAACAACTTCTCAAAGACGATGGCTAAAGTGTGTCAGCTGAACTCTTATCGTGATGCGAATACAATAAGGATCGTGATTCAAAGTGTACAATATGAATATATAATATTAGGTAACAGTTAAGCAAATATACATCTGTAATACATACTATATATATTGTGCTATTCCTGATGTGAATCTCAGATATAAAACCAAGTCTTCAAACAAATATTTATCAGTAGAGAATGTTTCAATTACTATCAAATGTACTCGGCATTGCGAAAAGCTCTTGTTCAGCGCACTTCAAATTGAAACACACACTTTCCATACGCTCCCCTGCCACAGACACGATGTGCCCTTTCAGCATCTTCCCCTTCAACCACCCCACACCGGCGCAGAATCTGAGCAGCGGCCACATCGGCAACATAATTTAAATGCCAACTTTAAAATGTTTACCAAACGCTTCATCCTAGTTGTAACGTAAATTTACGGGCCAGCAGCTAAACAAACACGGAAACACACTTTCACACACACACACACGCATAGACTCTCTGCCAGCTGGGTGTGTTTGTATGCCTGTGGTTCGTCTGTGCTTTCTATTTGCGCTTAATCCATGGACAGCCGCGCTAAAAAGCATGCTATGCTTATTCTGCTTTATTTTTGTGCTTGCATCTCCAGGCGCGAATATCTATGCACCGAAAAAAAGATTCTGTTCGGGCGACTTGCTCATTACGGTGGCAATTTTTTCTGTTTTCGCGGTAGTTCGGAGCGCCTCATTATGTTGGATTTTAATTAAAATTAATTACATTAAGTGCAGCAGGCAAACATCAAGCAACACACGCCACGCCATTGAAGGCAAGCGGGAATCAGCAATTGGCAGTCGAGCAAGAGCAGGAATTATTCCAAATAGAAAGAGGCGTGGCAGCAGCTATGCAGCTAGATGCAGCCATTCGTAACCAACTCGAGAGCCTTAATGCACTTTAAGCGCTCAAATTTTTCACAAACGGCTCGAATTGGTGTCAAAAGGAGCGCAAACAGAAAGCAAATCAAAATATTTACTTCATTTATTTACATAGCAAATGTAATTTTTTTCACTGCCCACTTAAAATATAACTTTTAGCTAGTTAAAGCTTATACAAGAGAAGTAAAGAAAACAAAGCAATTAACTAGAATAAGGCCATTGAAACAAACTACTTCAAGCTAAACCTGCTATTCGGCTGCTGGTTCATCAGTTTAGTCCTGAATAGCTTTGTGCACGCTTGCACTGACGATAAAGCCACTGAACGGATTAGCAATCAGCACAGTCTTAAGCCTATTAGTATCGCAAGATCACCTTTCACTAAGTTATTTCGTTACTAAGTTATTTTGTTATCTGACCTCATTCCCTGCATGAATCTCAAGGAGATTAAAGGATCTTTTTTGCGTGACAATTTTTAGTCAAAGAGTAACATGGTGCTCTATGGAAATTCTAACAGTCGTCGCTGGAAACCAGTCGTGAAGGAAGTCTATCAAACATCCTTCTTCACGAGCTTATCTCGAGATAAGCAAATGCCTGCCTCAAATATTTTCTATTTCATTAGCTTTGCATCAAATTGTGAAACCAATCATACGAAATATAAATGCTTTAAATAGATTTATTTTTGTTGTTATTTTGAAATGTCTTTCAATTGTTCTTAACTTTTGAGCCCACTTGCCTGTGCCCGTAATAGATGAGCAAAACTTTTAAGCTTCAACTCGATGACAATAACATTTTAAATGCTGCAAATTGTTGAAGTGTTCAGCAGACCCTCAAAAGGCAGTGTATGGGATACTTTCAGCAGCATAATAAAATACAACAGTTCACAATATTTTCTCGTTTTTCCTATTTATTTATTTTATTTATTTTTTTCAAGTATTTTTCTGAGCAATTAAATGTTGCCAGTTGGACAAAAAGTTGAACACAGAAAAGTTTGAGAGCGCAAAGTTGAGGCGGAAATTGTACTAAAAATTGTCAAGCCAGAAATTGGGCAGCAAAAAAGCAAAAGCCACAATCGAAAGGCAACACTCTGCAAATAAACTCTACTACTGATACAACAATAAAAGCAGCAGCAGCAGCAACAACAACAACTGAAAACAAATTGAAACGAAGGAAAAGCATTTTGTAATACCAGCGTGGAAAATCATATATAAAACGCATGTAATCCACAATTGAGTGCTTAAGTTGATTTCCAAAGGGGGCGACGTCGATGTGTATGCTCCCTCCTCACACACACACTCACACAGAGACAGTTTATTTACATTTTGGCGCACGTTATGGCTGCTGCCACATAAAAATCACTGTCTCTATATTGAAAAGTCATCAATCATGAGTAAGCTGAGAAGTTAGCAGACCGCGAAATTTGTCAGCGTGGCAGAATTTGACGGGGAGCTTGGATAAATCGTGACATGAAACTTGCTAGAGCCTAAGTACTATATGCGTTTGCCCGCCTTACTTGACTCAATTTGGTAGGTCTTTGGCTTTAAGCAGCTTTAACTGCTTGTTGTGCGGAAGCACAGAACAAAACATAACGAACACAGCCAAAATGAATGGCTGAATAGATAGAAACACAAGTTGAAGTGCGGCCAGGGCCAAGAAATGCACAAAGCAAAGACGGGCAAAAAGTAGCCAAGCCAGGCAAAAGTTTACATAA